GTCGTCCAAATCGGATAATTTATTTTTTGATCCAATCCCTGGAATGACATGAAAAACATGAAAACATGACTAACCATAAGCACCTTCCTATCATAATCATTCAGAAACGTTGCATTACATTTCGTTGCCGTTCAGGTGAACGAATGACTTCTTATCTTCTGTAAAAATACAGTAATGCTCAACTTCTCATTGTTTGAGATCAGGAACAGTAGCTCTTCGTACTCTTCCTGATCACATCGACAGAGAAGGTGAACAAGACTGTCTGCTGAAAGGTGAACATAAATCAATTTATTTGTTTTTACCGTACGTGATTATGCGTCAGAGCGACGGCATTCTGCTTCTCTAATGATTCAATACGATCTCTCAGTTTTCCATACACTCTGAATATATATAGGGATTCCCAAGAAGCCTCCGAACCCAATCTCAAAACCAAAACTGCTCTCCTACTACAGATCGAAGTTTATTATTAAAATTGACAGTAACATTGAGAACAAAGGTCACGAAACACCGCCACACAGCAAGCACTTGACTACTCAGCATTCGAATGTTTTCACCAGGAATTCCCACATCTGCAGTTTCAGGTCTTTGTCCATGTCCTGATAGACTTCAGTTTGAACGATCGTCCTCATCCAGCCCGAAGATTTAGGAGGAACTTCTTTCCTTGCATATATATTCTCGAAATCCTGCTCATTCAGAGAAATGCCTTGAGAGTTCACCTACCTTCAAGTTTTCAATGGAGTATCTCCACGACAGAAGGAAGATTTCTATTCGGATTGCGTCAGTTATTTTTGGGTCCAGCACCAGTAAATCCATGTGACGTCGGCAAAATTGAACGATAAGTTTCACTTGGAATTTCTCTCCCCAATGAAGCAACTGTCGGAAGTTATGATCTGCAAGCATAAAGACAAAGTTCGAACCGCGACGAACATCATACCATCTACTGGCTCACAAGGTAAGTAGAGATAATGAAGAAGCTCTCGAAGATCCTTGACTGGAATAGAATCCTTCAAACAGATTTCTGAAGACACTTCGCTGCAATAAGAAGGTTGGAACAGTCAACCAGTTGGCTCTCACCTCTCTTTGATCATAGTTCTGAAGATCTCCGAGTTCCAAGATAGGACCTGAGATTCAAAAATACAAACGACGAGCAGCAACTTTCCTACCTGACTGTGGCAGTGAAGCTTCTCACCATCGACATCCAATACCAAATCTTCGTTTGTATCTGTTCTATCGAAGTTTTTCATTTCAAAATTACTGTGAGAATAAAGAAAATTAGAAGTACTGAAGCAAACTAACTGAATTCCCTCAATCCTGATGTTGGTGATCTCTACTTTCAACGACACATCGCCTTGATAAATAAAGCACTTGATCTTGAAGCAATCCAAATTTTCGTGTAAAGCAATATCTTTTTTATGTTCAGTAATTCTTTCCTCCTGGAAAGCCACAACAGTTCAATGAGAAAGTTTTCACATACATTATACTGGGAATATCCATTCCTATTGCCTGTTAAAACCACAACATCAAAAGTTACAGTCCAGGGAACTAATGGACAGGTTATTTTTCCAATCGGTTCGTTACTTATCACAACCTCAGCTT